AAGTTTTTCCATAAACAGAAAAATCATTCATGAAAACTTCCATGATTTCTTTAATCATATCAGAAAATATAGACATCATGCATCTTTGGAAAGAAGTCGAGCATTACATAGTCCAAAGGACATTCTACTGATAAGCATAAGTTCTATATGGACATGTAAAGGTGGTTTTGCTTTGGTCATCTAGATGGATCAGAATCTGGTGATAACTGAATACCCATCAAGGAAACAAGAAGAAAGAGTGATTTCTCGGTCGCTCTAACATTTCATCAATGAAGGGCAATGAAAATGATCTTTTCTTGTTGCCTTGTTAAGTTTTCACTAGTCAATGCACATCTCGCCATCTAGTGATGTTTCTTTGGGGATTAATTTATTATTTTCATTTTTAACAACAAATCATGCCTTCCTTTTTAGGTACAATTTGAACATGGCTTACCCACTCACCGTATGCGGAACAGGGTAGATAATCCAGCGTGTAGGAGTTTCAACACCTCTATCTTAACAATCTCTCTCATCGCATTATTAAGCCTTCACGTTACGGCTCCCTAGAAGGTATAGAATTAGGATTTATAGGGATGCGATGGATGCAAAGAGCAAAGAGCTAATTCCCTTAAGGTCTTGGAGCGAGTAGTCAAAAGCAGAGCGATGTTTTTCTAAGACAGTTATCAAGCGGATGGATTCTTCTTGAGAAAAATCACTTATGATCACGGAGAACTCTCGATCATTGTTGAGAAAAACATATCTAAGACCGAGAAGATGAGGTTGAAGCTCAATGACGAGCTTAGGTGGTTCCAACAATTCATCTAAGAGTTTAGGGTCAGAGGATTTTCCTCTTCCTCCTCGACGAAGAACTGGGCATCATCTTCAAGGTTGTGTTCGATCAATTAATCAAGAGATGTAACTTTAACCTTTTTCATTTGGTCTTCCTTAGAAATTGGCTTAGTCTTAGCATTTAGAGAATGAGTAATGGGTATAAAAAAGTTTGAAGTTTTTTTGGAGACTTATTTTCGACATAAGTCTTTCTAACTGGTTATCCTGTTGACAGGTCAAACTCATTTAGGACAGGAATAGAGATTTTGATCATCTTCGTTTAAAAATGTCCGATCCCGGACGCCGATGATTAAACAGGGGCACAGCTCATAGGGATTGCCATTAGCACGCACGGCCGCACCCTCCTTATTTTCTCTAGCTCCCGCCTGAACGGCAGCGGTGGCATCGTCGACGGAGGGCGGGTCGTCGGCGGAGGCGGAGATGGCGTCCGTGGCCGCGGCGGAGGGCGCGGCGGCGGCGCTCCGCTCGGTGCTGTCGCGCGCGCAGCAGGCGGCAGCGCGGGCGGGGCGCGCGCCGGGGTCCGTGCGCGTGGTGGCGGTGAGCAAGACCAAGCCGGTGCCCGTCATCCGGGGCGTCTACGACGCGGGCCACCGCTGCTTCGGCGAGAACTACGTCCAGGAGCTCATCGACAAGGCGCCTCAGGTTGGGTTGAATTGTTCACCCGGTTTCTCGCTCCACCAAAACCTTGCTTTTGGTCCCATATCATGCAAATTGATAACCTGATGGATGGAACATTGAAATTAGAGACAGCATCTCGTTAATTTAAGCTTCTCGCTGAGTCCTGGCAACTGCGTCATTAGTATCCGGATTCGTGTGATCAATATCTTGAGAGTGACGAGCTTGAATTTTTTGTTCCTAGGTTTAAAAGGAAGATCTAAATACCAATGGGTGCCAAATATTGATTTTTTTTTGGCAGCCAAATTCGATTCACTAAAGAATATTTTTTGCATGAAAATTCAAAGCAGTAAAGAGTAAATTTAATCGAGCATTTCAAGTTGTTCTGCACAGCCGTAAATGACATGGATGTCAGTGACTTCCCTTACAGTCAATTGCAGGTTAAGTAGAATAATTGGTAAGCTGGAAAGGACCACAAGTTTGGTTGCTAGAGGCACCACATCAGAATGCATTTGAACTAATGAAATGGACATATTATCTGTACTATTCAAACTGCTATGTTTGATCCTAGAAAGTGTATAGCAGCTTTGTTCATATTCTAAATCTATCTTCAGTAAATGATAATGTGGTGGAAATGCTATCAATTCATCTTTAACTTTTCTCCATTTAACATGAGAAGTAGGTCCGTGCCAGCAACTAGAGGGTATAAAATTTGTGATATGGGGGTGCTAGTTGGACAACAGTTGGTCAATCATTATTATCCAGTAGCTAACGAAAGTTGACAACCTTTCCATTTTCATTACTTTTGGGGATGTTTTCTGAAGTTCTAATGGATCCAATGTCATAAGTTTCCTCGCACCTCGCAGGGCATGCTTTCTAATACTCCCTCCATTCCAAATTATAAGACGTTTTGGGTTTTTTGATACATTTCTTTCACTATGTATCTAGACATAATGTATATCTACGTATATAGTGAAAGCTATGTATCTTGAAAAGCTAAAACGTCTTATAATTTGGAATGGAGGTTGTACTTGCTGTCAATTACCTAATCTTTTTCAATCAAATCATGTTAGTGTCTAATCAAGTGTTTTTCTCATTGTAGCTTCCTGAGGATATTGAGTGGCACTTCATTGGGAATCTGCAAAGCAACAAAGCCAGAGCCCTACTTGGTTCGTACTACTTCTGTTATTTTTTACGTATATACATTGGCATGCTCTCCTACTACTGTTTTTACCATTATTTTTCTACTTATATAGTTATATGTCAGAAATTGTTCAAAATACAAAGGTATTGACTTTATTAAAAATACGACTTTGCATATATAGGAGGTTAATGTTTTAAAATGTCACGGCAGTTGCATCATCAAATGATAAGTAAAAAAGAGTAGAGGGGGCATCTATTTTCTTGTTTTTGCAGAGTTCCTGTCTTGTATCTTATTACTTTATTTTGATTCTGTACAGATTTTGGCACTTGTGCCTTATGCCCTTATCTAGTTCATGGTTTGAGCTAATGTTTCTTTTCTCGTTCCTTTAACTTCTAGCTGGCGTGCCAAACCTTGATATGGTTGAGAGTGTAGATGATGAGAAGGTATGTGATCAATTTAATATTATCTTGTGATTCCATAAATTGCTTTCTTGGTTCTGGGAAACACTTACATTTTTTTTTTGAACTTGGGAAACACTTACATTTGAGGCACTCATACATCAGTAGCTCACTCCGCCACTCACTTGGTTACCTTCAAGTAAAAGTGTCTCCTTTGCTGAGTCAAAAAGGAGGAAAACATTATACTGTCAGACTCATCCCTATCAGCATCGAGTATAACTTGTTATCTTCTGGCTATACAACATAGTGCTGTTCATTATGTATATTCAACTTGGGTGTATATAGGCTTCAGATTTATCATTCTTCTGTACAGCAAGATTTTGTTGCATAACTTAGGTCCTAACTAACGATAGCTGTGTCATAGACCTTTGGGTTACTCGTCATGATGTCCTCTCAGTTTTTCAATCTTGAATCTGTAACCAGATTAGATGTAACAATCATTCTTTCAGATTGCTAACCGTCTTGATCGAGTGGTAGCTGACTTGGGGAGAAAACCTCTTAAGATTTTGATCCAAGTCAACACTAGTGGAGAAGAATGTAAGTACTCTTGTTTCCTTTCTCATTACTAGTGTGAACTTGGTCTTTAGTTTCCTTTTTCAATACGATACTGAAAGGATGAAAGTTCTCACTTTGGGCTTGGTTATAGTGGTTTCGGAATGTGGAAACTGTGTTCCATTTAGTTTTAAGCATTGATAGTTGATATGCAGCACATTGTTTGTCTTCGATAAGCATTTGGAAGCTGTAGGCTGATCTGCGAGCATGCCCAGAGCTCATGTATGTATGTAGTTCTGAATACTATTTTTCTATTTCAGCGAAATTTGGAGTACATCCCTCAGGATGTGCCGAACTAGCAAAGCATGTCAAATTGAACTGCCCAAACCTTGTGTTCTCTGGTTTGATGACAATTGGGATGCTCGATTACTCCTCAACGCCTGAGAATTTCAAGGTAAAAATATATTCTGGGATACAGAAATTTTGTTGGAGTGGCAATATGGCATTCATATGTGTGTTAATGTGTATTACGTATGTTAAATTCATAGACACTGGCTAACTGCCGGGAAGAGGTGTGCAAGGAGCTTGGAATACCCGAAGAGCAGTGCGAACTGTCTATGGGCATGTCAGCTGATTTTGTACAAGCGGTAAGGGAGATACTGTGATCTGTGAGTGCGGAAGAGACATGGTAGGCTGATAGCTGCATTAATAATGATATACGTTGTTTCTATGTGCCTGCAGATTGAAATGGGAAGCACAAATGTAAGAGTTGGGTCAACCATATTTGGTGCAAGAGAATACCCAAAGAAAAACTAGGGCGCTTATGCATTCCTGTCACGATGGCATAGACATGTAGGAGTCTGCAACAGTTCCAAATTTCTGCATCGTACATGTGCAGTTACGTGCCCATTCTACTCAGCTGAAAACATTTTGACACTTTTTTTTTGCTGAAGTATCAATAAGGATACTGTTTTGCCATTGTCTGCTCTTCTGCTAATAAAAGCATCTAGACCACATGAGCATCGATTGATTAGTCTGCAGATTTTGTTCACAGTTCAGTCATCCCAGTTGTAGTATTCAGAAAGTGTACAAGCAGGTTCATTCGAACTTCTGTGATGTAGTAGTTATATTTTCTTTTACGACTATTCGTACGTTCTCGACTTTTCGCAAAACGAAAGTGAAAGGAAATAGCATACATCACGGCCAAAATCTAGTAAGTTAAATTGTACCGTTTGGGTCGGCATTTTTACAAGCTCATGGGCATATTTCGCCCCAACAAACACCTGGATTCTGAGCACAGCAACGCTAGAACACCTGCTATTCAGTTACAAGTAAGTAACACAACCACTGCTGCCACCGCTATACAAAGATGATCGCGATCAATCAGCGCCAGCTTCCAGCAAGTATAAGAGACCTGTAATGAAACCAGGTAAGAGGCTGAATATATGCATCATCTTCTAGCTTCAAATAAACTCATCTCGATCATCGATATCATCCTCCTCATTCTCTTCCTCCTCTTCCGGAGCATCTGGGTCCACTCCCTGCACATGAAAAACAAGTGTAGGCAATGAGGCAATGCTAGTTATCTTGCACCAGTAGGATATTTAGAAACGAGTAAATAAGGTTGGGAAAGCAAAAGGAGTATAAAGGTAGACCGAAGCAAAACATGAAAACAAGAACTGAAAGTTGGTGAGCTAATCAGTATGATATACTGCCTCAGTCCCAAATTATAAATCGTTTTGGCTTTTCTAAATACAATAGTTTTTTCTATGTATCTAGATATAACATATAACTAGATACATAGGAAGAGTTACCTACTTAGAAAGAATGACTTATAATTTGGAATGGAGGGAGTAGTTATGAACTGCACAAACCTTCATTTGTTTTTCCAAGCGCTCCAATCCCGTCTTTGCAGCTTCATTTTGTGGGTTTATTCTGAAACACAATTGAGTTCCCTTTTCATGAACTAGAAGGTAATACCAAGAAATAGGAAGGCACAAGGCAGAATACTAAGCACGGAGTCAGTAACCGCAGGGGCAATATCAGACTAGTTGATTTGTACCACAAAGTTGGATTAAAATAAACAGGAACAAAGCTTATCAGAACAAAGAAAGTAAGTTATTTACTCATACATCAATTACAAAACTCTGATGCTTCTTGGGTAGCTTTTGAGCTGTAAGCATGCGGTTTGGGCCTTGCAGGATAAGGATGGAAGGGAATTATCTGATTGTCAATTCAGAATAGTTCACTTCTTCCAAAATCGGCAGAATAATCAAAATATTAGTTGAAGACACAAATTATTGAGCTAACCCACCCAATCCTGTCATAGCTATCTCAGGCCGTGGTTGGAAGAAAAAACATGGTACTAACATCAAGAGCCAAGTTTCAATTTAAAATTGAAGGAGAAACATGATTAGTACAAAACTTTCCACAATTTAGTTATTTATTTACATTTTGTAGATGGTACATAAACCCAACCCCAGGAACTATCACTAAAATCTTACCTCAATAATCAGATTTACTCCTACATATTCATATACTAAACTTTATTTATGTACCACGTCTTCAGGATTCAAACCAACAGCAACGAAAAGGTTAATAGATGATGAATGCTACTGCAGAATTGCTACTAATGCGCACCTTAGTGCAGATTGATAATGGGAAAGTGCATCTGAAAGCATATTTGTTGCCGCATGTACTTGAGCCAACTTGATGTGTAGAGAATCATCTGCCCATTGTCTTAGATATTTTTCCAGTAGCATAACAGCCTCCTTATTCTGTCCTTCCACAACATGCAGATCAGCCAGGGCCAGTGCAGCTCCAAGAAATCCAGGTTCAAGACGAATGGCTGATTCATAGAACTTTCTTGCCTGTAAGTGATGCAATGATATCTATATCAGCACAATCGACCAACAGGTAGTATCATCCAATAATAGCGTACAGAGTTGAATCACAAGATGTCCATTTGAAAAGATATATACAAGTCAATTTCAATGAAGTCACAGTAACTTAATTGAGAAAAGAAAGCAGGTTACAAAGCACATATACTTGTCTTAAGAGGATCCTTTGTTGAATAATCTGCTGCTGGTCTTGCACAGAAGTCTGCAAATGCAGACCAATCTTCAGTCAAGGCTGCAGCTTGGTGAGAACACTAGTAGAAGTCTGCAAACTGCAGACAACTTTCAAAGGCTGAATAGCAGTCAAGCTGCAGCGAGAACACTAGACTAGAAGTGCAGTAGGGACAGACTTTTGGTAGGCTAGTAGTGTCCCTTAGCTAATAAGTTTTGCAGGCTTATCCTGCAGCTAGGACAGTAGTTTTTTGACTGCAGTACAGCAGCCCACCTTCAGCTGATTAAACATACTAGCTATCTAGCGGCATGATTGCTTCCAGAACCCCAAAAAATATATAATCCTTGAATCAGTGACCCATGGCAAAATAAGATTACCTTCTCCCTCCCACTAGAACTAATTGCATGAACATCGCCAACTAGCTTGAGAGCTTTTGCAGACTGATGCAGAACCTTCATTGCCTCACGTGCAGTGAATAATGCTTCTTTGCATTTAGAAAGTGCTAGATAAGCACGCACCAAACCTGGAGAATACCTCTATTTAGACTAACAATATGACAATAGATTTTGAATATCAGATGCACCAAGCCTTTGAATATCAGATGCACCAAGCCTACCAACCTTGATAAGAACGAAGATCAGCTCTCAATTCTTGAGCCCCCCTAAAGTCTGTCACTGCCAAATCTGGTCGATTCAATGAAAGATGCAGATTGCCCTTGAAAGAACAGTAGGCAAACAATGACAAACCAATGAGGGAAAATCATGATATGCCCTAGCAATGGAAGATGGCGATCCTAAAAAAGCAAAGATGGTAGCAGACACAAAATCTAAACATGAACTTCCCAGAGAAAATAAGCAGCAACCATCCTTGTGCTTCGCAAATTGTAATGCAAGAGGAATTACCATAATAATGTAAATCCAGTTGCATAGACAATATCTTGCAGTATTACCTTCATAATATAGCCAGTTATATGCCTGTCATCAACTCGGAGGCTCTGAAAAGGAAGACATCGTAAGGAGCATTAGATGGAAGGTGAGTTTCCATCAAACCCACAAGGTATTTACCTTTTCTGCATATGTCAAAGCTTTTCTTTCATCCTTTCTTTCCCACATTGCTGCAAGAGCAACACATGTCTCTGGCCTTGCAGGATCAATATGCAGCATATCATATACCAACTTATTCAGTTTGATGTAGTCAGATTTTGACTTTAGAAGAATTGCATACTCATCCATATATGTCTCATGATGTTTGGATCAATCAACAGGCCTGCAAAAAAAAGGAAAGAAACAACAGTGAATATAGCAAATGTTTATATAACCTTGTTACTTGTTCACACGATTTCCGAATCAGGGGCTTTAGCTCTGTACATTTTCAATTTACCTTCTCAAAGTTCATTATCGCTTCATCATTCCTGCCTATGATGGCTTCAACCTTCAAACAAGAAGCTCAAATATCAAGATCAACACATGAAGAAAGGTCATAAAAACCACCAAAATAAAGCTGGAAATGAACAATTAACTTCACTTGTTCTCTAGACACTGACAAGCACACTGACATCAAAGTTGAAGGGATGTATGATCCAGAAAAATCTGAGAGACCTTGACAGCCCTTAATTCAATAAGGAGATTAGAGAAGTGAAGAAAGACAAACCTTAGCAATTTCCAGCAAGAAATGCACATTATTGGGGAACCGTTGCATTAGTTCTAGATATATGTCAAGGCCACCTATAAAAAACAAGCAACAGTAAGCCTAGTTATTATGCGATCGCTAGAAATGAATACATGTCATTGCTACTGATTTAAAATCTGCAACTTAATGTCCAAGATATACAAGTGGAGTCTACAAAAAGTAATATTATGTAATAATCTACATCAAATGAAAAGGAATACACATTATGAAAGTATTTTTTGTGGTGAATCTAATAACATCAACCATACATTTTCAGTGAACATGATTTTTTTTATCTGTTGATGGTCAAAGAGACAGAAGTTTGACCAAAATGAATCCTAAAATGACTTTACATTTTGGATCAGATGGAGTATCAATTACTGATATCTACAACTAAAAAGAATCACGTGTTATCATCAGATTAGACTAATCGGACCACTTACCCCTAATTACCTCGCACAGCGCGAAGCCTCCCGCAAACCCAAAACTGCCGTGCCCCAGCCTCCCCATGACCCACGCCTCCCACGCCCGACGCCGCGCACCTGGCCCGACGCTGCTGCCGCCAGCCCGGCCCCTGCACGCTTGGCGCCATATACAGTCAGTGGTCGTTCCCACCTGCCGTCGTTGCAGCCTCGTCCGCTGACGCCGCCCAGCCCTTGCACACCGGCTCCCACACAATCAGGGTCGTGCACGGCGGCTCTCTCTGCGCCGCCCGACGCAGCCTCATCCGCCCAAGCGGCAAGCCCCTGCACGCCGGCTCCCCCACGGTCAGGTCGCGGCACCGCGGCGCGGCGTGCGGCTTGCCTCTCTGCGTCGCCGGGTGCAGCCTCGTCCGCATACCAAGCGGCAAGCCCGAGATCCGCCGCGGCCTCGTCCGACGTCGAGCCGCCGTCCACGGCCACGACTAGCACGCAGAGTCGAGGACACGGCTCCGACGTCCCTGTGCTGCACCGCCAAACATCCGCGGCCACGACACCCTGCTGCTCGGCCACCCGGCACGCCACCCCGGTTCTGCGACGTTCCTTCACTCCACCGGTGAGCAGTCCGAACCCCAAACCCCCTGCTTTTCATTGGCGTAATTCCCTTTCAGTTCCCTGCAATTAGTAGTTTTAGAGTCACTGTGGTTTCAGATTTCAAAATAGCATAGATGGCCAATTACACATGTGATGTGGTAAATTAGTAGTTTCAGAGTCACTGCGGTTTCAGAGTCACTGTGGTAATAAATCAGTAGTTTCAGAGTCATTGTGGCCGATTTCACATTTGGCATAGATGGTCGGGATAAGAATGTATACAGATTCAGTGCTTTGCTGAACTCCATCTAAATTGTCTACAAATTTGCATTTGCATCACTGTCGATTCTGCAGAATTGGGAACTAGAAATTTGCTGCACTGCTTTTCATCTGACTATCTACAACATGTTGCCAGTGGTGCACAAGTTGGGTGTCATCAGATCATCCCTGTCGACAAGTATGTTTAAGAGTTTTTTTTAGTAGAACAACTAAAAATGCATGCACAAGGCTTGCACCGAATAATGGTTACTGTGAACACAAACCAGGATGCCAGGACACTGCAACTGCCTTCGTGCCTTTCATCTCTGAATCACAATCTCTCTGCAGCCACCTCAAAATTCTATATGCTAATTTCAGTATACTGTCATTCAGTTAACCTGTACCCCCTGGAGTCATATATCTATCTTGCACCTAACCTGACCACCTAAGCTAATTAGCTAGCATCTCCTTCTCATGGGCTGCACTGCTGGCATGCTGCTACTTGCATCGAACTGCCATGCTGAGCCTCTGTGTTCTTGGCTTGCTACCGCTACTTTCAAATTGGTGATTGATATCGATATGCTGCCCAACATCTCTGGAAGTTTATGTTGCCGATGTAAACTTGAATTTATTCACGTCACTGAGCCAGTACAAACTGCCATTGCTCACCATCAGGGGCCATACTAAATGCCTCTGCACTTGTGCCACCGATTGCTTGTTTTGCACAAAAGTACGTATCACAGATTAACTTGGGACTTGCTTATCTTAGATGTACCCATCTTCTGAATTTCACCAGGTCCACACACATGCATACGACGGCTGTTTAATGATAGACCATTACATAGTCAATAATGTTTAATGAGTCTCTTAAAAATTAGACTGCTCTCAATTCAGTGGTCCAGGCTTCGAAAGCTAACTTCAGTGGTGTTATGGGGAAACTAATTTTATAGACCTCAGTGTTGCCTCTGTCAACTGCAGTTTTAAGAGAATCTGTAGATGTGAGAGTAAGAGTCCTCATTAGATGTGAGAAACCTCGGATTCATTTTGAATAACCTCAGCCTATACCTGTGAATGCTACGATTAACTGAAAATAATCAAGAAATTACATTGATTACCTTGGATTTACTTCTGAATAACCTTTGGATTCACTGAATGCAAAACATGTATCCCTGCTGTTTGCTCCATCTTTTTCTGGTATGTGGTTCGGCTACATCATTTTTAGAATTCAGTCAGTTTGTTTTAGCAGTAGCAGCTCATATATGGATACATATGAATTTCAATCCTTAACTGATTCACAGACCTGATAAGTAGACTTTCTTAGGTATTTAATTTTAAAGGAATTCTCAGGAACACATGGTCCCATTTGATGATTTTGGCACCCCTTATGGGTTGTTAGAAACTTGTGGAAGTTTGCAAAATCTAAATCGTCACTTAGCTTTTAGAGCTGCAACTTGGTTCCATATATTTCGATAATGATCTTTGGGCTGCTACCGATGAAAATTATTGAATTTGGTCACACCTATTTGTTTGTTACCTAAACTTGCCTCAGTGTTATATAGATTGTTGAACATACATTATATTAGTTTACATACACTGTTCAGATTTAGCATCCAGTACTCTTGAGCAGTGAGTACTCTATGTGTGCCTATCTGTATATTCCATGCTTTAATACTGCTTTTGCAATAATGAACCTGCCCCTAAGATAGAACAATATATTTTTCCCGTGGAATACTGCTTTTGCAATAATGATACCACAGACCGAGGAAGACAGTGATCTTGATACGTTAATTGACTGCATATTCCCTGCCCTCAATGCCAATATGTCAAACAAGAGTTACATCACCTCACGAGCAATATTATCTACGCGGAACGACTGGGTTGATATGATTAACATGAAGATGATAAGCCGTTTCCAAGGGGATGAGATGGTGTATCATAGCTTTGACAGTGCGGTTGATGATCCACACAACTACTACCCATCTGAGTTCCTCAACACTTTGACCCCCAACGGTCTCCCTCAACATGTGTTAAAGCTCAAGATTGGGTGCCCGGTCATATTGCTAAGGAACATCGACCCTGCGGGTGAACTTTGCAATGGAACGAGGCTGGTGGTTCGAGGGTTCCAACGAAATACCATCGATGCAGAAATTATGGTCAGAGACCATGGCGGAAAGCGAATCTTCCTACCACGGATTCCGTTATGCCCCTCGGATGATGAGATGTTCCCATTCCAGTTCAAGAGGAAGCAGTTTCTGGTTAGACTCAGCTTTGCCATGACGGTTAACAAGGCTCAGGGGCAGACTATCCCCCATGCTGGTGTGTATTTGCCTGAATCAGTGTTCTCTCATGGTCAGTTGTATGTTGCGCTATCTAGAGCCACTGCCAGATCGAACATTAGGATCCTTGCCGTCCCACCAAGTGATAACAAGGATAAGAAAAAAAAAGACGAAAATAAATGGTATATACACGAAAAATATTGTCTACAAGGAGGTCCTCACTCTATAAAAGTTATTGTCTTCTGTTTTGTATAACTGTTATATTTTCTTACATTTGTGTCTTTTGTTACTGACATTTGTCGTATCCATCTGCATTTCAGGTAATAGAAGAAGTCTGGGAACAATAGCAGACAAGTAGCATATGATGATCTTGTGGACATGTTACTGAGAGGATGCACTCATTATATTATAATATATTTTTAATAACTATATGTGAATTTATGTTTAATTTGTAACGTGATGGTTATTATTTTCTAACATGCCTCTTTTCTTCTATGGTTAATATTTAGCTTTATGTCAAATAAATTGTTAATGAACGGATGGATGAGATTTTACATATGTTCTACACGCGCGGCTATCTGTCATGAGATTCTATGTATACCCGTAGCAACGCACGGGCACTTAACTAGTAAATATAAAGAAATGACATCCCTGTAAAAATACTTTCAAAGCTACAAGTTTATGTTTAACAGATACAAGTAAAAGTTAGGAAGTGTCAACTACAAAGTTACATTCAGTGACCAAGAGTAAATGCTGATTCTAGATCATTTATCATCTAACAATAATAATAATGGACGCTCTCAATGAGAATGTGAATTATAACTTCAAAAGTTCAACAAAATTCAACTATATGTTGGAATCCTCAGATAAAATGTTTCATAAGGACACTTATGTTACCTTTATAATCATGTGAAGCAATGCAACACTGCGCCTCAACATACCGCTGTCAAGAAAATTATAATTTAAGTGAATAATCAATCTGAACCAATCTATAAAAAGAACAATGCAGTATGATGATATCTCTGGATGAGTTGACAGTTTCTTGAAAACCATAACTAAATTTAAAATTGCAATAACAAGTACTGTTCTGAAAGAAACATATCTATCACATTTCATCAATGACAGTGCAACGTGGCAGACATAAACATGCACATAAGTTGCAGAATTGGTGGCAAATTATGCAATCTACATAATCAGAAAGAGGCCAGATGCATTCCCCACCCCTAACACACAAAAATAAGCATTTTTTTCTCGAACACGCAGGAGAGCTGCGTATCATTGTATTAGTAGAAGAAAAAGGAGTCATACATAGACCCAAACACACTCACACACCCCTCCACACCTTCCCTGTTTTCTAAGGCTTAAGCACCTGTTTCTGAGTATACAACAATGTTTTCAAGTCGTCCAGTCAAACCTAGTCGCCATGGGACCGACTAGGACGATTAATCGGACGACTTGTACAAATCGACGGTACCCCTAATCAGTCACTAGGGTATACAACGACCGAGCGGGCTAAAAAACTAAAAGCCCCAAGCAGTGAGCAAGGAAAGACCCTTTGCTCCTGCCATACACCACCAGTGGGCTTCATCCCTAGCTATACTCAGGGCTGTGTCAATGTTTCAAAACATGGGAGCTAAAAAGGTGATGACTTCATTGGCATACAGTTTCAATTTAACAGAGTTTAGCATTTATATATGCATAATGTGGTTTTGGAGTCCAATGGTTTATGAGAATTAATAGCATATCAAACATAAGATGGCAACCACGAATCTAGTTACTTGATGGAGTAAGCTGTTTAAGATTAAAAATTGAGTGGCATGAATGTTTATGCCTCAACATTGTTCACTTACACTCCACCAATGTTGTGAATCTAGTTACTTGATAGAGAAGGATGTTTAAGACTAAGCATCGAGTGCTATCCACGTTTATGCCTCAACATTGTTCACTTACACTCCACCAACGTTGTGCATCTACAAAGTCACCCGGCACCTTGCCTCCTCTATTTGGTGCCTGCAAGGAAGTTTAACTGACTAATGACTAAAATTTACAGAGAAAAGGTTGTTGAATAAACTGATGTATGCGTATTATTGTTTCTATAAAGCTTTACATGTGTCGTATGTGGTGTTCAAACAAAAATGAAACCCAACAGTCCATATGGATTATATGTACAGAAACAGAACAAATGTAAAAAATATAAAAGGTTTGACGGGATATGGTTCTGTGATTGTCAGATCATGCTAAGGTACTGTGTACAAAATGAGAAGAAAATTTCAGCGTTCAGAAATGGAAAAGGTAAGAACTTGCTCACAGGATTGACAATATCAACATCTTTTGGTATAAAATGCAAAGTGATGGTTTTTTGTTGTAGTATAGATTAGAGGAAACAATAGCCTATCAATTTTTGTTGCAAATCTGGCAAGCATGTAAAAAATGAAGAGACTCTGATAGCTCAAATGTTGTACAATAGATTAGAGGAAACAATAGCATCTCTTGGAAAAACTTTCGAGTTCAAAACGGACGGATTTGTTGAAACAGCCTATCAAGTTTTGTTGCAAATCTGGCAGGCATGTAGAGCATGAATAGATTCTGATAGCTCAAACAAACAATAAAGTTGACGACCAGGACATCTGACAATGAAGCACAGAGAAGCCCTGAATTCTACCATGCGAAGTTAAAACTTATCTGCCCTCAGAACTTCCTATTTACAGCTTATAAGCAAACAAAACATACACTTACTTGTGGAAATAATAAAGAAAATTCCTTTGCTGAAAGCCCCATTTCCGCCAAAGCTGTGATAGCTTCGAAAACATAAGGGCATTGCCTGACAGAGAAGTATGGAGATGTAGACAGTCTTGTGAGCATAGAAAAGTTGAGTGGTTTCTGTAACCAAGTTTAGAAAGAACTTGCTATAGAAGAACAAATTGGGCAACTTATGTCGAAGAAGTTGGAGAACACAATCTCCAAGGAAGCAATTTCTTTGATATGTTATACCTCAAGCACTCCTTATAACAGACAGCAGCTGTACGGCTATTTCTTGATATTCGATAAAGCTTCCCTAACATCATATTCATTTTCAGTGTTCTCACTTTCGAAGGAATACCTTCCATCTGCAGAAAGCATATATATCACATCATCTGTATTCTTAAAACAGGATAATAAGGTTGAAAATGAAGAATAGACATAAGAAAACGAAAAACAAGTAACCTCATGAAGTGCTTCACGGTGCTCACATAGAGCAGAATGGCAAAGAGCGATCTTAAACTTCACCTGCAACAGCACAGCAAAACTGAATGACGTAAATAGAATAATAGATATCAACATGAGAACACAAGAGTGCCATATTCAGCCATTCACACCTCATTTTCATTGAATGATAAGAGATTCGAAGAATTTGGAGAAGGTGACCGGCCTATGGCGGATACTGCACTTCTGGTGTTACTTGTTGCTTGCCTAGGGATACTTCTACTATATTGCATAGCTTGCTTGTACGCATTCTGCCATGGAAGAAAGGGAAATTAGCAACGGAGATATCAGCAATTGATGTGTTTTACTTCTGCAACTTCTTGTAAGCCAATCATGAGTGTTTTTTTTTTTTTTTGGAAATATTACCAGTGCCCTGCGGAACTCTTTCTCTCCATACAAAGCATCACCATGCTGGACCTGCGCGGTAGGCCAACAAGCACATCAGCTCAAAAAAAAAGGCCCTGTAAGGAACAGAACTGGGTGCAGGGGCAATCCGTGCATTGACTATCAAGAAACTAATCTGTGCATTGCAACCCGTTTAGTTTCCGCAATATGGCATCAGAAGTGAGACAGGAAAAGGAGTTGACAGAATCATAGCAATAAGTTAGTCCAAACAAGCACCACTTGCAGAGCTGCTGGTCAAGGAAGCTTGGGCTTACCAGGCTCTCCACCTTCATGGACATGCCAGCATCGTTGCCCGCACCCGCCGACGACACAAGGAAACACCCCTGCAAGTGAAGGAGAAGAGTAAATGAGTAATCACTGCTGCGACGGAAACCTCGCTCCATCACCCAATTCAGCAACCCAACCCCGCTCGCACACGTCGCATGCAAGGGGCTTAGCCCTGCCCCAGACGCTACCGGCGAACCCCGAACCCGCTTCTGCTCCCCCGAAACCCTAGAGATTCAGGCGCGGGGAGGATGGAAGGCAAGGAGGGGAAGGGGAGGCAGGAATCGCGGCACGTACCAGCGTTTGGGCGGGCCCGAAGAGGCCGGCGTCGAGGAGCGCCGCCATGGACTCCCGCGCTGCCTCCATCCCCGGCGGCGAGCTCTGCCGAGGGAATTTGAAACCGGAGCTCGTGCGGGGATTTTTGGTGTTTGATGGGTTGGTTTGATTTGCTGATCCCACAACAGTCGCAGAGTGGACTGGACTACTAGAGATGGGAGTAGAGAGAGAAGGGGATTTGAAATGAAAAGCCATGGAATAGTATCTGGGCTTGTGCCATTTCTGGGCCAATTTAGGCCCAACAGCTTTCTTGTTTCTGTTTCTCCCCCTCTCGCACAAAACAACGGGATATAAAATCCTCACCCAGAGAGAGAGAAGCATGGCAATTTAAATTTTAAAATAACATATTTGGAAGCAACAACGAGACAACAATAAGAAAGCAAGAAAAATTGGACAATGGATGGAAGTTTAGCTTTGAATTTTTCGGTGCATCCACGCGAGCCACATAGTCCGACGTGGCAGTGCCATAGTGGCGTATGGAAGCTCCTGGCATCGCAATTTATCAAAAAACCACTGTGTGAACGTTGTCTTCCTCACTTCCAACTCTAGCCGCTCTCTTCCCCAATCTTTCTTAGCCGGGACAGAAGACGAGGGTGGGTTGGGGTGGCGGCGAACTCGCGGAAAGGGAGTAGTGAAGCCGAAGGCACGAGTTCGTCGGTGGCAGCGAGCTCCGCAGTGGGTGTCGCCCGGTCGCACAAATTGCTGTGCGACGGCACCATGTCAGGTCGTCGACGGCTGAAAGGGGAAACGGCACCAATCTATGGTAAGTGTCCTGGAGCTGTATCCCTATACTCAATGCTATCTATTGCTATCAATTTGGAGCCGTAGTAGTAGGTCTGGTAGGCAGCATACTATTTTGGTGGCTATGCTCCGGTTCTGTGCCTGATTTTAGGGTTGATTTTCATTCTTGAGGGCCTAACGATTAAGAGTTTTCAGTGAAAGTGCATCATGGTGGCTTTTTCTGTGGGTCTGGTGTAGATCTGGTGTAGCTCGATGGCAAGGTTGATTGGTTCAATCATGTCAAGGTGAAGTACTGGTCTTTTTCTGGAGTAGATGAGATATCAGTGGTGCTAGGTTATGATCTGGGTGTCCCGGTGAATTGGTTGTTGCCTGAGATGGACTTGTCAACCGGTTTGCGTTTGATTGAATCGGATAAAGAAGCACAGATAATGAAGCAAGTTGCATTTAAGGTCAAGAACTATGTGCTTTTTATGGACCATTACAATTCAATTGATAGCAACAACTAGGAGGACATTGCGTTCAATCCAATTGCAACCTTACCCAAAGTGATCATCCTACAAAGGTGGTTGTCTCTCCTAGGATGATTCTCGCCGATGGTGATGATAGTGAAGGCGATTTGAAGTGGATTTTGTTGACATATGATGTTGATGATGGTGATGATGACCTGTTTTGTGACAATGTTGATGAAGGGGTGGTTGATGAGGGTGCAGCAAAAGGACAATAGTCAGAGCAGGGAGGAAAAGAAATGCCCCAACTGGCACAGACAAGGACTCAGCAGGCAGAGAATGGGATGAGTTGAACTCTGATGAAGAAGAATTGGAGTTACTAGAATCTGATGAAGAGAGTCAGGCTAGACAGAACATGAGAAGTTTCATACCAGAAGATTTGCACAACCCAATTTTCAAAGTTGGCATGAAGTTTGATTCAGTAGAGGTGCTTAGAAAGGCTATTATTGAATATAGTATCAAGAATAGAGTGGAGATAAAGATGACCAAGAATGATAGGATTAGAATCAAAGCTCATTGTGATGAAGATTGTCCATAGTACTTGTATGTTTCATTAGATAGAAGGGTGAACTGTTTTGTGATCAAGACTTTTGTTGGGGATCATACTTGTTAGAAGAAATGGGTACTGAAAAGGTGTACTGTAACATGGCTAGCCAAGAAGTATGTAGACAAGTTTAGAGCTGATGAGAAGATGACTTTGACAATTTTTGCAAGGACAGTGCAGCTGGAGTTAAATTTGACCCTATCTAGGAACAAATTATCTAGAGCTAGGAGACTGGCATAGAACATGATATATGGAGATGAAGTGAAGCAGGTTCTTGACTTGTGGAACTATATAAGGAACTTAGGAAGACAATTCAGCAACACTTTGTATTTGAAATTGCTTGATAGTTGTTTTAGTTCACCGTATGTCTCATTGGATGTATGCAAGAGGGGATTTTTAAGTGGATGCAGGCCTGTCATATGTCTTGATGGTTGCCGCATCAAAACTAAATTTGAGGGTCAGTTGCTAACTGTTGTAGGAATAGATCCTAATGACTGTATCTTTCCTGTTGCAATGGTAGTGGTCGAGGTTGAGTGTCTTGCTTCTTGGAAGTGGTTCTTAAGAGAAATTGAAAGAGGATCTTGGAAAAGAGAACACTACACCTTGGACCATCATGACAGATAAACAAAAAGGTCTAATCCCTGTTGTGCAGCAAACTTTTCCTAACTCAGAACACAGGTTTTGTGTTAGACACCTATACTCCAACTTCCAAGGACAGTTCAAAGGGAAAAAACTGAAAAAAAAATAACTTTGGGCTTATGTAAGAGCAAGTACAGTACCAAGATGTAGTGTCATCCTTTTGCACATGAAAATAGTTGCCTTTTGTGTAGTGATCATAGAGATATAGATCATATGCAATGACAATGTACTCTCTAGTTGCAGTTTGATGGTCATAAAAGGAATGGCCTAAACTATGGTATGTAATTGCAGTGACTGAATTGACACTGATGGTAATGGTATGTCAGCATGTTGATCTGCTATCTTCCCGTGCATGTTATCAACTTCTTCAATTGATGGAGAGAATTGCATAAAATAAACTGAGACAATATTGCATTGATACAAACAGAAATTCCATTCACTGAACAAGACTGCTAACTAAAACAAGATGCAGGTTTTTCATAACACTTGAACACATAATTAACAAGATTACTAAGCTGCCACTTTTACTTGAAAAACATAATTATTACACCTAGAACAACAAACACAGCAACAACTACAAGACACACAGCTACAATTTTTCCTAGGTCTATCAACTTCTGTAGCTTTTCAGCTACTCTATCACTTCCATTCTTCAGAGACAGCACATCATCAAGCAAAGCTGTCAATTCGGTCTTGTTGGCTTCCAGTACTCCCTCAATGCGTCCAATTGCAATCTTGATCTGCTCAACTTCAGCCAATGGCTCAGGCCTAATGCCGGCATCAGTAGCCCCTCTCTTCTCAATAACCCCCCTCTTAATCAGCAGTTTCTCATACTTGTTGGCAAACAGATACCAAGGGCAAGTTCGAGGGTCCTGCAATTTATACAGCAAGGGTTTAACAAAAGCAAAAGGAGCAGAAAGCTACAAGATGGTTCAAGGGTTTACATCTCTCTCATGAAGCCGGCACTTGAAGAAGATGGCCCCCGGGGCCTCAGATCCTGGACCCAAGAAGTGAGCTCCAAGATCTCCTTGCCACATGTGGGGCACGACATAAGGGGCAGCCTAGTGCGCTTCTTGAATTTTGGGGCCTCAACCCTCTGCGCCGACGACGAGCTGCTGAGCGTCCTCGCAGAATGCATGGAGGCGCTGTATCTTCAACCTAACAGACGACGGCGGGAGGCTGCGTGCGTTGGACCGGAGAATGCGGGCGACGAGCAGCAAGTGGCGGGCAGCGCGACGACGGCCGACGAGCCAAGAACGCTAACGAAGATTGGGGAAGAGAAGGCTACAGTACCCACTAATGATCAAAACATTCATGGGGTCTTTTCTGCAAAATTGGCCTTTCCAAATGCCACTATGGCACCATCACATCGGACCATGTGGCTCGTGTGGCTTCTTTTGGACCATAGATGCACCGCGGAAATAGTTTGAGGACCTACATAGTCACTTTAATAGTTCGAGAACATAGATGAAAAAACACCAAAAGTTTAAGGACCCACGGTGCATTTAATCACAGACGGTTAACAGGCTAGAGCTTCACCACTGATCGAGCGCAAGCTTCTGCGATGTAGCAAAAATAGCACAAACCAGGCAATCAAGTAACAATCCACAAGCCTTGTACGAACTGAATACAACGAATTACACAGGCTTACAGGCGTAACGCCGTAGTCAGGATTGCTCGCGCTTGGTGCAATCTACATGTACAATATGGCCACACAGCGCTAGCCTCGACAAGTTCAAAGACCACTATGGCACACTTACAACAAAAAAGCTTCAGGAAACAGGTGGCGACGGATCTAATACACTAGCTAAGTTACAGTGACTGATACTGCGGTACAGGCAGTTCCGAGGATGTTGCGATTTTGAGGCAGCTGGAGAACAGAACTCATGCCTCTTCCACTTGTTCTTCCTCTTCCTGGAGAAGGTTCTCCCTGTTGTCATGGGCCCAGAAGCCACGCACATCTATAAGCATGCTGGCGATAGTCCCGCCTTGCTTGCAAGAAAGAAGATCCGACAGCGACATCCTGAGAGGATCTGCGGGCTTCACCATGTCCCAAATTTCATCCCTCACATCTTCTATGCAAAGCTCATAGTTCCGCCCTCAATCCACTTCTGGTGTACACGCCTCTGAAAACATGAAAAAAGGTTGCATGAGAAACATGAATGATCAAATTAAACAGAAAGCAGCCTACTGATGTCATGGGGCACATCATAGAATAAGTTCAATACATAAGCCTCCACTAGCATAGTGTTGTAAGAATTTATAGCACTACTTGAAAACATATTTTGAAGACTATTGAGAAATAAGAGTATCAGAATTCAGAAAATGATCAAATATCTGAGTTGACTAACTTGTTGTATTGAGCATTTTCTAGTATCAGCTATAATAGTTGAAACTATTTTTAATCAACAAATTACAGTAAAAAATTACAGGACTTAATAAATACACATTTAGCTAGTTAGATTGCATAAAAGCTAAACAGCAACCGAACAGCCCCTGTTCAAGCCTTCTGGGATAATACTTGTCAGTCACATCCCACGTGTTGCCTAACAACATTGCAACTGGTGATTCAAACTAAATTTAAAAGAAAAAAAATAAAATAGAGGATGCCTGTGGCTGTGGGTGCAAAAGGGGAACAGAAATACATAACAGCATCTGGTGGTTAGAGATTAACTATTGAAGCAACTGATATACGACCTGTTAAGGCCAGCAGAACAAACTAAAAGTTCAGCAAGCACAAAAAAATGACAGATTCAATCTAGGAAGATGGCATCAGGTAGGAATGTTAACTCTAACAGCCTCCTTTCTTTTCTTGAAGAATACAGGTGCTTCCCAAAATAGGAATCGAACAGAACCCAAGCTTTGTACTTCACAGTACTATTTAACACAAATTTCAATTTTTTTATTGTTATACATGTAAATCCATAATGATGACAGGCTGACTCTAGGCAGCTTGGAATAACAGAAATAGGTAGTGCAACTGAATCGGCGAAAGTAAGTTTCAAGCCAACCTCATGTAGTTTAAGAGTCAGTCCTTTTTCCCCTCTTTTACTTTTATATAGGCAGGTAAATTTTCGCAAAAATACAAATAACAGAGTAGAGCATCACAATGGAGCAAGTCAAAACCAAAGTTCGTTCGGTACTGCTTTCAAGCCAAATAGATTGATCAAAAGGGTATAGATTTTCAAACTTGAGTTTGAAATGTTATGCTAAAACACTTTAATTAGGCCATCAGAAAAAGGGGGGCTGCATCTATCATCAGACTAGTATAGTGTAAATTAGTCCATAAATAATTACATACCTAAATAGAGTATGGATATCTGCAGTTGTAAGGAACCCCCTTCCATTAAGATCAAGGCATCTAAATAAATATGTCAAGCCTTCAGGGGTATCTTTGTTTTCTAGAGCCAAAACAAAATCAAGAAAGCTTTCAAAGTCCATCTCGCGACTGTTTCCACCTCCAACTTTGCTCCGGCGAACATGCTCATCAAAAACTGAAAAACACAACCACATTGTTGTTATACATTCATGAACAAACTCTGAAAGACAGTTCATGATCTATGCCTAAAGACACTAGCTTTGGGACAACAATAAAGTATAAAAATAACAGTGGCAGAGTTTAACCTCTTTCAATGAAAATCTCAGTCAATGTACCATCTGCATATTCCTTGAGCTCTTGTTTGCTCAGTGTACCATTTGTATCCTTATCTAGTGCAAGAAACATGTCTGCGCAGGCATCAGGTAAAAATCAAACACTGACCATACACCACACTAGAATGGTACGTAGATAATACATTTCAAATCTACGGGGCAAAACAACTATTTACGAGAATTCCAGCTGACATACCACATATGCGCTGAGCTGAAGTTAAGGAAAACCAGTTCTCTGCCTGCTCGGTATCGGTTACCTCTTCCTCGCTCTCCTGAAAATACAAGTGATGATAATCATCAAAATGCGCAAATCCCCAAAACCATGTGGAATACGAGTATGCAGCAAGATTTCAATGTAGAAGTACCAAGATTATCAAGTTCACCACATTGAACAGTGCAAAAATATATTAAAAAATACCTGATGTAGTTCCATTAGCTCCTGAAGACAATTGCTCAGCAACACTTTCTTTATGCATGCTTTCCCTGCAAGCATAAACAGTATAATACAGCATAGGAAGTTAATCTTATAATGTTGTTTTGGATATACATCCACTGTATAAGTCTAGTTCTTTTTTCTTATACCCCGCCTGTGTGGATCGCAGAAGAAAAAGAACTTGCGTGCAGCTATGCGGCAGTACATCTGAACAAATGCAGTGGGCATGTCACGCAATTGTGCCAAATTGGGGATGAGTCCTCTAATATATGCTTCCATTTCCTATGAAAATAAATGAGTGAGTCCTCTTATACATGCTTCCATTTCCTACGAGAACAATTAAGGCATAAAAAACACTTCTAAGGTGCAAACTATCATCAACATGTCCTGGGGTGCCCTTACATGAGGCTGAAGGAAACCATCAGAATCCTCATCGAGCTCACTCATATCAATTCTTGCTTGAGTAAGAGAAACCTGCAGAAGCACCAGTAAGCAAACGATCAGTATATAGCACCATAATTTGCACAATTAGATTCTAAGGTGTAGCCTAACAGTTATTTAGACAAACTTGGTATAAATAATGAAACGGAATAATTAATGGAGTAAAAAATTACTTCAGATAAGAATAGAGAACGGAATTGCTAACAATGTGGGTTTTAACCAACCCACAACTATTAGACACAAAGTGAAGCATGTGGGACAAAACTAGCTGGCAATTTTAACTACTCTTTCTTGCAGAAAATAACTCACTGTTCGCATGACATAAAGATAAAATGGTAGGATAGCAATCCTCCCAGAATCATCCTTCTCAAACTTCATGAAGTTTGAAGGGCTGAAGAAACGTTTGCATTTCTGACCAATCTGCTCCGTGCAGACTGTGGCGATATGGCAGAAATCTTCATAATTCATCTGCAGTATTCCAGGAAGAAATAAGAAAGGGTGATAGTAATAAAAATAGTGCTACATAAACAGCTAAAGAAACATAAATGGAGATCACGCATGTAGCTATTAGTGGTGAACCGGTGAGCCCGGAACGAAACTAGTATGCTGACATTCAAACATGCAACAAAAACTAAGACTTTACAAATGGATGTGATGTAAAATACATGTATCAAAAAAGAATCCTACCTTTTCAGCACCCGTAGCATCATCAATAACACAATTTTCTCTGAGACAAACCCACATGGCATCAAGATCATCAGCATTCAGCAGAAGTTCTGATTGTTTCTGTAATTGATTTTGAAAATCTCCCATAAGGCACAAGTCATGAAAAGGAAAATGCCAACAAAATAAAGCTTAGCTTGTCACCAAAAGATGCTACCTTTAGAAACCTGTACTTGGCCAACCTCTGAACCCTAGAGCTAATGGATCCTTCTTCAGGTTTCTGGACACAAGATGGAGATTAGTTTAGTATCCACAACTAGGGTGTTAGATTCTACAAATAGAACTAAGTGAAATTACTGAGGAAACCCAAAAGAAATTACTACTCTCTATGCAGGCAGCTAGAACTGCTACTGTTCTATTTTAAGTTAAGCTGTAAGTTCCATCTTAAGAGGACAAATATAAAAGGACAAGAACACTCAGCAAACTGAATCATGCACCTTCTTGTAAAAACTTGGGATGGAACCAGCTTCAGCACTCTTCCGCTGCCGCTCCTTGAAAATCTCAAGCAATATCCTTTTAGTCTCCAGTTCTGCAAATTGCGCGTATAGAACAAATCATGAGTGTAGTGCGAAATGTAAATGTTGATTAATAAAGCAACCACCAGAGTCTAGTGTAGCATTTTATTTTAAGCTTGTTTCCAAAGAGAACATGCTAGTTTTTTGTATCAATTTCCTGCACCCATGGGTAAGGAACTACCAAAACTACTTTAATTCAATAAATGTGATAAATTACAAAAGAAAAATGGTCCTAGTTCTCCGTACAGGTGCAGTGACAGAGAAGTACTAGCACTCAGCCCACTGTCCTGAGGCCAGGTATCCCCCCCTATCATCAAATTATGAGTATAGGTGCAAGCTCAAACAGCACACATCCAAAATCTATAGCCTTCCTAAACGTCACTACCTCTTCAGAAAGCACCATTCTCTTCCCCAATGAATCACCACCAAAATCAACAGCTGCAAATCAGTATCCAAGTTACCCGTGGGGCTGCATTACATCACCATAAACCCTATGGTGCACAGATCCCATCCTCCTACCACACACATTTCAACATGGGGCGGATGTAAACCCTAGTCCTAGCACCTAACCACCACCACCTCGAAATCCAAAGCGCGCAGCTCCGACCGAGCCTAGCCTAGCGCGGAGGCCGGAGGGGCTGGCTAAGGGAGGAACAGAGGCGAGAGGCACTGACTGACCCATGAGGGCCTCGGATCCGAGGCCGGCGCCGGTGCCGACGAAGCGGCGGAGGTTGCGGACCCACGGCATGGACGAGGCGGGCGGGATCCGTCTCCCGGCGGGCGCCGACGCGGCCGCCGCCGCAGAGGAGGCCCCGTCGCCGCCGGCGTCCGCGCCGTCGCCGGAGGCGGTGCTCATCGCGGCCGCGGTGGTGGATCGGGGCGGGGGCGAGCGCGTGGGGAGCAGTGAGTGGAACGGGCTATGGCCGGAACAGGGTGGTGGCCCGACGCGGTCCGGTTTGGGCGTGTGTGGGCAAAAGATGAGAAGGACAAAGATGTTGATCGGCGACTCTACTTGTTGATCGGCGACTATACAAGATCGGCACGAAATTTTTCATCAACATTTCCCTGAGAAGAACGGAAAAAGAAAAAAAGGAAAACAGAAGGTACTAACAGAAAACGACAATTTATCAATTTGTATGCTGATAGACTTTAATCGCCCTTTATTAATGATTGGTTAGAGTCGTTTCCGAACCATAAATCCGTAATATAATTATTAATTGCGTGGGAAGTAAAAATATACCATTTATAACATGTATGACGCTTCAACTCACCAAGCGGTGGCAAAAGATGGAATTGACTTGAAAGAAGAACAGGAAACTTATTTACGTCCAGTTCGCTTAAACTTCTTAGCATGGTTTATCAGACATCGTACAGTATTTTTCTCTCACGACAAAACAATATTAGCTGGCTTATCAGCCGTAAAAACCATCAGCCGAACAACCCAATAAAACAATTATAGTTTCTTCGTCTGAGCTATCCAAACGATACTCAATAGCATGTATATTAGAACAGAAATACTTCGTGCAGGGACGTGGCTCCCCAGGAGCGGCCCCAAACAAAAAAAAACAAATTACCATTCCCTTGCGCTTATCCGCTCGTCCCTTCCGAGCCCACACCTCACTCCTTCGTGCTTATCCACTAGGCCTCAAAGCAGCATGGCTGCTCATACGTCCGCCTCCTTCTCCAGCGCGCGCTCATCTGGCTACCGCACCGTGCCCTTACCCTTATCACCAGCCACGTCGTGCGCCCTCGCTCCCTGCGCCGCCCACCTGTGTGGCAGTCACCTGCGTCGCTTGCTCCCTGGTTGTTCGTCCGTCGCCCATCGCTGTTGGGCACGCAACTGACCCCGCCATGGCCACTGGGGCACACGTGCCGTGGCGCCTCTAGTCTTCCCTGGTCGAGCCAAGGGCACCCACGAACGTGGCCGGTGCTGGTGGTGCTCCCGCACCGGCTTGACGCCGGCTCCCACCCCAACGCCAGAATCGACTAGCCCGACCTTCCCTCCCCTACTTGCATATATTTCAAGTGTTTCAGATATTTCAGATGTATGTTGCATTTATTTTATCTTTGATGTTGCAAAAGTAGATCGGGGATGTTCCACATGTTGCATATGTTGCAAGCGTTTGTTCAAAATATTTCATCTGTTTCCAGATGTCTGTTGCAATCTTTTTTTTATCTGGATGTTGCAGATGTTTCGAGATATATTGCAACAGTGTGTTCCAAATATTTCAGTTGTTTGTCTTATGTTGCAGCAAGTAGTTTCATGTTGCAAGTTGCAAATCTAGATGTTTCATGTGTTTCACACACATGTTGCAAGTGCGTGTTCCAAATGTTTCATCTACTTTCAGACGTATGTTGCATTCAAATGTTTCCTATGTTGCAAGTGTTTTATATTGTACGGCTGGGGGCGAGTAGACCGGGCGCGCGGTGCGCCGGGGGCTGACGGACGGTGGTGTTGTGGTCGGGGCGCGCTAGGGGCGTGCTTGTCCTCAGTTGCTCATCCCGGCTCCTGAGTGCTGCCCGCGCACTCACGCAGAGAGAGAGGAGGGGGTCAGGGGCGACCAGCGGGCGCTGAGATGGGGCGAAGCGCGCACATGGGACGGGGTGAAGGTGGACGGGATCGGGGCGAAGGCGGACGGGGCGGGCTGCGCGGATGTCCGGACATCCGGGCGCTAGCCACGCCCATATTAGAATGATGTGATTTAAGATATTCTCCAACATTACTTCGATTTTCAATGGCCAAAGTTTTTTTTTGTAACAACTAATTAATAGTGAGAAACTCAAAAGTGCTCCACCTTTTTTCTTTAATATGTGTGTGTAAGCCAACAAAAAACAAATCAGCAAAATCATTTTATAAATTATCAAATTAAAACATCAGTTTTTAATATCTCTAAATCTTTTAATGAAATCAAAGACAGGCCTGTCACACCCTTGCTTAACCGATACCAAAGTGATGCTTAGCTGACGACAAGTCTTGTGTGCACAGATGATTAGGACTACCGTGGATATAAAATGAAATCCAAAGGCATCCTGAGAGCAGGGTTCAAATGCACCAATTCAAGTGGGACCTGCATGCTTCCATCACAATATCAACAATGGTACTCAAAATAACAAAGAATTAATAACTCTGTGTCTGTAGATAATACGTTTAATTAAAACCTTAAGGTCTCGTTCGCTGGTATAAAAGTTGGCTGAAACTGGCTGGTTTTGTGAGAGAGAAACCCTATAGCGGCTGGTTGATGAGCAGTGTTCGCTGAGGAGGATCAGCCAGCTGGTCTTACCAGACCAGCGAACGCGACCTAATTCATGTTTTTACTCCATAATTATCTCCATCCAAACAAAGTATTACATCATCACATCTTGTTTGTAGATTGTAGAGCCCTCAGACCTCAGTCATCAGCTTGATTGAGCCTCTTGTTTGCAGTTTCCCCAACCATCAAGGTAGCTTCACGAACCAAGTGCCGCATGAGTGTCACCTTAATCTCCTTACATCTTTTGGCACGCACCAATTCTTCGAAGACTTTAGCGACATCGTGCTTGATGATCTTATCGTTATATTTACTTGCATCTTTCTGTATCTTCGATAGCTCATCTTTTGAGAACATCTGATAGAAACAGAGATACACAAAACCTCAGACCAAGCAAGTATATGAGATTCGTATATATGACATATATATGCATAACGAGTGCATGGTGAATGAAGGCTGCGTCTGGGAGTGCTCCATGGAGCAGATTCTCCAAGAGAATCGCTCCTCGGCTGCTAAACATAAAAAATACGCCCTAGCTTCTCCAGTGAATCTGAGTGAATCGCTCTCTATTCTGTGTACATCCGAGGGAGCTATAAAAACATGCTCCTCCGGATTCACTCCCGATCCCCACCATATGAGGGTACAGACCTCCCCACAAACTTTCATGATATTTACCCGTAAATGCCACTGGTATAAAAATAGAAATCCCTTCGGTCTCCTCTCCCACACCGTCTCTCTGTCCCCTCCGTGCGGCGCCCGCGTCGCGACTCTCGCGCGAGCGACGAGAGGAGCGCGCCGGCCGCCGTTCCCCTCCCCGACGCCCGCTCCTTGTCCCGGTGCAACGCCCACTGCTCGTCCGCACCGACCGCCATGCCCCTCCGTTGCTCGTCCGTCCGCTGCTCTCCGGTGAGTTGAAGGCCGATGCTCATCCCATCCCTCTCAAATACGTTCTCTCCCTCAGATCCATCTGATTTTGTCTCTGATTTGTATTGCTGCAGGCTGCCTCCTACCTCCTCTCGCTGCCGTCCAAGCCCCTCTTGCTCAGATCTACAGTCTGGAGACATGTTTCTTCTTGTATTATGGATTTTGTATGTGATGCTGGTGTGTAGCTAGTTGAAAATAATTTTTTTTGCATGAGTGTTAGTCCTTTACATGTTTGTGAAGTATGACTACTAATACTAATTCTAAGACATGAAACAATCAGCTTGTTCGCTTGTTGGTTTTAGCCAGGGCTTATCAGGCAGCCAACGGTGTTTTCCTCTCACAACAAACTAGCACCAGCCGGACTTATCAGCCCAGAAACCAACCAACGAACAGGCCGAATATCAGCACCATGAAGGAAGACACTGCAGACTGGTGCGATGAGAATGTAAAAAATGTTTGTGTTAGTCCTTTGCACTGCATGCAAAAATCACGAAATACATGAAGAATTTCATTAGTCTCAATTTCTAACAAAACCATAATGATTAATACAAATATTGGGCGTACTTCAGTTCAGACATGCACAGGGTACTATGGACAATTCCAAAGCAAAATCCTTCCTTTCGTAAATCACACTTGAGACAACTTGCCAAATGATTATATCAGACAATCACTCGTAATCACTTCACCCGGTGAATCGGGGAGGCACTACCGGAGAATCGTGGAGCACAACTCTACCAAACAGCCCGAAAACACACTTGCAAAAGTAGTATTATGGCTCACCTCTCAGAGGGTGCTCAACTTTTTCGTCTGGATAAGCTATCATCTTCATAGCAGTTGCAATCTTCATAGTATCCCAGTCCTGGCTGTTGAACCCAGATATCTCCATAAGATCTGAATCTGACATGTGAAGGCTCCTGGAATGCTTCTTTACAACCAAGTCACCAGTCATAAAAGAAGCAAGCTGTTTCCACTATTTCATCGTTGACCTAGATGAATACAAACAAAGGGGCATTGATCAAAGGCAGGCATGACCCAACCTTTTTTAGATAACACAACAGGTTTGTAAAGAACAAGACAAATATTTTATCCCTGTGCCATAAACAAGGCATAATTCTTTACTTGTTTATAAAAACTAACCTCAGAAACTAAAATGAATAGGCAATAAAATGAGTAACTAAATGTATATCTATAAGAACTATGAGCCTTCTTCCACCCCTAGGGGCTTGTTTCTTCTCCTAATTTCAATGAAATTGGGCATAATCTCGTGTCGTTTTGTTAAAAAAAAGAACTGTGAGTCTTCTGTTTAATTACAACAAAAAAAGGTTTTGGGTCAACCATAAGGGTTTCAAGCGCACAGATCAGTACTTGACACATCAGGTAAAAGGTAACTAAAGACAGGCTCTGATGAAAACTCACCATCTCTGGCTTGACATCAAAGTTATGACAACGCAGGATCATTTCCAGCCCTTTACTCATAGGGAGGCGCTTCTCCTTGGTCAGCACCTTTTGTTCTTGAGGCACTAAACTGCGCATGAGATTCTTCATTCCCCACATCAACTCCTCCACAAGATCATCATAGAAGCACGTTATCCCCTGCAAAGATCCAAAGACTACAGTGAAAATGGTGATGAATATTATCCATGTGTACAAATGCAATTGAAACTATTGGAGCCTACACAGATCGATTAATTACCAGCTCCTGATCTGCTTCAATTATTTCCTTATATTCGAGGCTTCCAACCAATAGCTTGTTCAAACAGCGGCACCAAACCTTCAGCATATCTCTCAGTTGTTTCCCAACACCAGTAGTGCGGTTAATGGCAGCCGACTTGTCCTCAAACTCTTGAAATTCTCTCAGCCTCAGACCTTGATGATAAACAAAAGCACAAAGATGACATGACCACCATGAGATGGTTCAACCATCACGCAAAACATATCTCAGCCACTTGCTTTTCACAGTTTCCTTCGTCCATCGGCGCCAAGTCTTGCTCAAGCTTCACCGCCACGCGGTCCATCACTCCAAAGCCTCCGACTTACCCTTCACGCTTGCAACCGGCCCATCAAGCTAAGTTATGTCTTGATCTTCTCCACCTTGATCACATGACTCAATGTCATGTCACATTTGTAATGAGCTCCTTCATCATCACACGTGCGAGCTTTACAACATCTCCAAGCCATTTTCACCTTCATGGCATATGTTGCTCACACACATGTACCTGTGGACTAATCACATATGTATCTCACATAAACGCAATTAGTCCACCAAGGTTGTCACTCAATTACTAAAACCACACAAGGACCTTTCACCCCATCGGCGCCAAGCACAACATCACCAAGAGCCCGTCCGGAGATAGTCAAAGCCACCAACTGATTTTCCATTTCCAACATCCTCTGGCTTATGGCTGTCTTCTCCTCTTGATCCAAAAGCGTCCTCGTACGCAACCCTATGGAAAAGAACATCGGTCCATGACTGAACATAGAAACAAAGTAGAGGCATGATGCGAAGTCAAAGAAGACTCACCACTACAAGTTGAGCGCTGTCTCTGGCATTTAGCTTCAAGGCGCTGTAGCCCCTGCTCGGTCATCTACTAAGCAGCATTGGCCGAGGTGATCTCCGACTCTTGGGCAGCCACCATATCCTAAAGTCGGGCCACCTAGGACGTCAGGGCCTCAACCTGGGATCTAGCCTGTGCTTCACGACGAAGCGACTTATTCTCTGACCTCTAAGAAGCCTCCATTTCCTCCCGTAGGCGACGCGCCTCGGTCTCCACCGCTTCCAAGCGGTCTGTTTACACCAGAATTTGGAAGAAGGATTTCAGATGCTCGAAAACTCCTAGAATCATGTCAGCAAGGGATCAATTACGTGTAGATCAAAACTAGCTGATTCGAATACGGCACTAGAATCAGCTTTCTTCAGATAGCGCTAGCAGATAATGACAGAAGCTATGATCGGCACTGGGACGAGGCATGTTGGACTCTACAAAAAGAGAAAGATTAGAGTCCAAGTTATCTTAAATTAGGAATGTTTTCATTTTTATGCCAAAGATTGTAACAAATCGTGCTCGAGTAGGATTCATGTCTAGACTCCAGATATAAATATCAAACCGCGGCTATTGTAAGAGGGAACCAATCAATCAAATACAAAGTCAATTACTTTTTTCGGCTGCTGCCACCCCTTAGGAGTAGGAGTAGAGTAGATCTCGGCGAGTTCTTCAGCAAGTACGGCTGCATCGATCCTGTCGACCTCCACTACTTGTCTGTAAGTACCGTCATGGTTTATACCTCTGTTCATATGGTTGCATCGATCCGGTCGACCCCCACTGCGACTCTGGTATAGGCTAGTTATCAACTCTTGCCTAGTTCAAGTATGGCCTGTGTGATTCTGCCTCACACCCCACTGCTTGAACTAGATCAAGGTCAAGTTATCGGCTCTACCTTTGAATGGCAGTCTTTGGTAGATTCATTAAGTTACCGATATTGCTTATTGCTTTTATTGTTTATCTAATTACAGCAATATCACTCTGCCCGATTGAGATTGATCTGGATCAGCCTTATATCTTATTTAACCCATCGTTTGCTAATCTAAAACTAATCTAATCTACATTTTAAACGATGAGTTATGTTTTTATTGGCTATTTTTGTATCAATCTTAATCGTGCATAGTGTGCGGTTAAGGCATGCTCGATCTTGAGTAGATCTATTGGTTAGCGAGAACCGTTCCATGGCTTATTATCACGGCCTGTGGGATTCTGCCTCTCACCCCACTATTAGCACCGTGGAGTGGGGATCGTTAGTTGATAGATCCGTTCCTGAGAAGGCGTGACCCTAACTGTGCGCTATGCCTGAATCGGTTGTTTAGCCGATATCGAGCGCTCTCACGAACAGATTACATTACGAGACCATTAAAGTAGAGATAAGTTAAAAGATATATTAGCCCCATGATCTTGTTATTGTATTACGGCCTGCATGATTCTGCCTCATGCCCCACTGATATTAGTAATGAGTTAGGGTCGTCGAGTCTATTGTTGTTTCTACGGCCTGCATGATTTTGCCTCATGCCCCACTGGTCATGGCGATAGATGAGATCTAACATGTTCATTAGATTCATCTTTATTAAATGGTTAAGTGGTGTTGAATTGTTTCTTTATATAAAAAGGGGTTCAGTTGCTTGTAATCATTGGCTCAGTTTAAACCGATCATCATGGATATCTTATTACCATTGATTAAATTATTGCTAAAATTATATCTATCTTGGATGATAATCGATTCTTCTTACACAACCCCATGAGCTTTAACCGATTTATTCTTATGAATATGCTGGAATTGACTATTTAGTCGACCTCCTCTCATATCGGCCCTCAGAGCCGCACATTCGGGACTGTCTGGCAACACCGGCACGTTCCGCCCTTAATTACTGATAAACGTTCTCTCCTTATCAGTTACAGGGTCAAATTGACTGGCACATCTCGAGAGGATTGCGTAGGATCGACCACCATTACGCTGAAGCTAGGCGGATCTACTCCATCGAGCGGACCCTTTTGGCTTGCTGCATGTGTCCTCGAAGACGAGACGAAAATTTCAGATCGACACACGTCGTCGCACACGGTGGGACCCCATAATCGTCATGGCGGTTCACAACAACGACAACATCCTTGTGGTACATTATGAAGACCTACCTGATGAAGATAAGGGTACCATCAACAAAGCTACAGAAGAATTTCAGAAGAAGTGTTTGTTGTCTTACACCAAAACACGTGACAACACTATTATTCAGAAATTTCCACTACCAAGAGTTCTACTACACAGGCGAGATGACATACAAAAGTTGAAGAATGACGTTTCTTTACGGAAGCCATAGACAAATCTGTTCGGGATGCTCTATCAAGCCACAATGAAGCTTTCGTTGACGCATTTCACAACGCCATGAAAGAGATGATTCATAGAATTCTAGTTAGTCAGGTTGGATCGACTTGTTACAACATTCCAGATCCGTTGACCCAAGGGACTAATCAAGTCAAAGACTACCATCAAGAAGCAAAGACCGGTGGTAATGGTGACGTCCAGGCACTTCAAGGTTCATCTGAACAAACTCTAGGTACTAATACGAATCAGATACAGTACAATCCTAGACCGTCGATACAGCATGTGCAACAGCCGGCGGGGCAAAGTCAAAACCAGATGATCAATTTTGGCACATCAGGCCATATACCGTCGTCGGCTCAGAAGATAGCACCATCAATTCAAAGGATCCATAGAGATATATATATCCTTATGTCTATAATCAGAGACTTCAAGCAGCAAGCCAGCAAAGGACCCAACAGATTGAGGTTCCACAAGGCTATCACTATGGCACGGATTATAGCACCCTCCACATGATACCAAATCTAGGATATCAAGACACGCGGGATTTCAATCCACAGGTGGGTCAGCAAGTGCCGAGAAATCCAAATCCGCAAGCTAACGAGTTGTTGCTGAAGGTGACCGAGATGATGAAGAATCAGTTCGGTCTAAAGCCAAAAGGAATGACTTTTTCATACAAACATCCATATCTAGAATGGTATGATTTGGTCGCTCTTCCTACAAATTACAAGCTCCCAGAGTTCGCCAAGTTCACTGGTCAAGACAGTACAAGCACAATAGAACATGTCAGTCGGTATCTCACACAATTAGGCGAAGCATCAGTTGAGGATGCCCATCAAGTTCGTTTCTTCTCCTTATCCCTGTCAGGGCCAGCCTTCACTTGGTTCTCGTCACTACCAATTAACTTCATTGCCAATTGGGCTGACCTGGAGAAGAAGTTTCATACGTATTTTTATACTGGGACTGGAGAAAAGAAGATAACCGATTTAACAACCATGAGATAGAGGACTAATGAATCGGGCACTGAGTTTCTTCAGAGATTCCGAGAGACTAGGAACTTGTGCTTCTCATTGAGCTTGGCAGATGATCAGTTAGCTGCTTTAACCGTCTAGGGAATGCTGCCAATGTGGAAAGAAAAGTTGCTAGGGCAAGAGTTTGATAACATGAGTCAGTTGGCTCAACGAGTAGCAGCGCTCAATAGCCAATTCTAGAGTATGCACAGAGATACCCGATTCTAGAAGAGTACCACCATAGCTGAAGCTTATGATCCATACTCTGTCGACGATGGCTATGAGAATGAAGAAGAGGAGGTTGCTGTAGCTGAATGGAATTGGGGCAAGAAGATAGTGATGGTGCCAAATCCTTGGGGAAGAGGAGTCGAGGAGAGCTATGACTTTGATGTCACAAAATCGGACAAGCTCTTTGACTTCTTGAGAAGGGCCAGATCAAATTGCCGGACAATCATGTTATGTTGTCCCCTGAACAATTAAAGAACAAGAAGTTCTGCAAGTTTCATAATGCTACTTCTCATTCCACCAATGAATGCAGAATTTTCCGGCAGCACATACAGAGAGCTATTCAACAAGGAAGGCTCAAGTTTGATACGCCTCGGAAGATGAAAGTTGATGATAATCCTTTCCTAGGAGATCAAAATATGGTTGATGTCGGGCTATTCAAAGGAAAAACTAAGGTTCTAACATTGACCAAATCAAGAGAAGCTGGAACAGTTGATCCCAAGATGCAAATATCGGACGATGAATACAGAGAGATTAAAAAACGTCGTGATCAGCAAAAGAGCCGATATGAACAGGGGGAAGCGTCAAAGGATGGGGCGACAAAGCCGCGAGTTACATCTTGAATCTTGTTGAATAAGTGGCAGCGGCAGAAGAAAAATGATTATCAGCGATGGTTAGAGGATCAAGAATACCAGCGTCGACTAGAAGAAGAGAGGTATGAAAGAAAGCAAGCTGAATCGCACTGGAATTGTCCTTTCTTCAGATACTGCT